CCGCCAGGTCAGCGCACAATCGCTATATGGCGCTTGGTGGGTGACCGGGTGGAACAGCCCTGCGCAGAGGGGCTTTGAGTAGGTTTTGCTCAAGCTGGGGTCCATCCACCAGGGGGAGGGTGATACTTGGTCTAGATATACGGCTGAGGAGTGATATTGCCATTTGTCGCAAGACGTGAATTTACCAGCGAAATGCTCACAGAATAGGGCGGCCTCCTCGGATCTGCTAAGTAGAGTGCCTCCCTGCCCTCTTAGTTGTGTACCTTTGCAGGGGCACAATGTTGTAGACTCCTCTGAGGTCATGTCTATTTGCAGCATTTTGCGCTTTTTTCATTTTATCTTGCATGTACTGCTTCTTTCGAGGTTGGCATCTCCGTTTGTGTGCTTTATATTGTCGTATATATCTGCACGCAGACCGGCGCAAGCTGCTTCTCCGCGTTGGCCTCCATCTTGTCCATGGCCATCTGCAGCTCGGCCTGCGGGCCGCCTTGAGCTCTTGGGTCTGATTGCTCAGCATCTGCTGCAGGAGGGAGGGCGTAAGCACATTTTCACTCGCGCTGGCTCAGTTTGGGCTGCCCTCGTCAGCACCTCTCCTCATCGGCTGGCATTTCGCCTCAGGCTTCGGCTCAACAATCATCACCTCGGGCGCTGCCATCACCATACATTGTTCAGGTAAATCAGGATCAGGTAATGCAGGCAGAGGTCGTACACCCTACGGGAGCGACTGTGGGTGCAAGTGTAGTTCTGGCCTCGCTCGCCCCGCGTTGTTCCGCCTTCACTGAGGTATGGCTCAATCTGACGGGAGTTGAAAGCCCACCCCTTGAGGGTTTAGGTTTAGGGCTTCCAAATGCACAGGTCTGCCCAACGCTTCTGAGTCTGAGCAAATTACCATGCAAAGAAATCCCATATTCCTCCTGGAGCCAAGATTGCTGGGGTTGAAGGTTTGGGTTTCAGGGCTCCAGGTCAGGTTTGGGGTTTTGGATTTAGGGTTTGGGATTGAGGGCTTGGGGTGTAGAATTGTGGGTTTCAGGTGTAGGTATTTAGGATTGGGGAATAGCTTCAACTAGGGGCGGGGACGATCCCAATACCTGCACCAAGTACACCGGGATTCGATTACAGCGTTGTAGGGGCTGTTTCTTTGTTAGCGTCCTCAAAGGAAGAATATACCAGGAGAACAATGGCCTGTAAAGTAGTATAGAGTTGGGTTTTATGTTGAAACAACGGGCCCTGAGGGTCAGAAGAACGGGTCCGAACTATGTCCGTGAGTAGGTTTGCTCAAGGCTGCTTCTCAACTGTCTATAGTACTCGCGATCGCAGAGACATTTTTCAAAAATTTTGAATGTCCCACAGACCCCAGGAAGCCTAAAGCCCTAAGTCTAAAAATTTTTAAGTACCTTACCTCATCACCTCTGAAGGAGTAAGACTGGTTGAGGAGATACATTCTCTGAATCAGATTCCTTCTCAGGGAGGTAGAAGAATTCTTAGACGGGGACTACCTCTACATACCTTTTATACCGTAATCCTCTAACAAGTGACACCAAGCTTTTAGCCGCCTCATCACCAAATCCAGCAGCATTAAATTCTGTGTATTTGGATTTTGCATGAAGCTTATCCCTTGAACCAGCATTGCCTCAGTCACATCAGGCCGTAATGGAGGAGAAGCTGCCCTGGACTCTGTTTGTGGCTCGCGGTTCTCAGCGTTGAATTCAGTGTGTTGAGCTCTGGCTGTGTGGGCTCCTTTTCTGAATGCAGAGGGCGCTGGTTGAAAAGCCCGGGCGGTCTTGGCAGGGTACCCATCTAGGACCCTTCATTCATCATGAAGGCACAACTCAACTGCACTCAAATCAGTTTCTTGCCGTCATCTTTGACCCACAAGAAAGGCTGCAGCGAGTCTCTAAGAAGCCGATGCCGGTGGTACGTTCGAGAGGTGCCCTGGCTTCATGTGTTCAAACGTACAAGTGCGCCGATTACAAACCAAAGCCTCACAGGTTCAAATCACTTGGGATTATTTTTCGGTCACTACTCGCTGGAGGCCGCACTCGTAGCAAATCAAACAAAACCACCGAACCAACAACACCCGCCAAGCAAAAACAACATCCAGGCGGACAAGGTTTAGGGGTTTAAGATTTTGTGAGGACATGCCGTCGACGCTATGGATAATGAATCTTCTCGCGTACAGATGGCCCAGAGCCATCACGGGCTGTCGTGCTTTGGCACGGAATGCAAGGCACACTCCGCAGCAAGTCAATGTTGTTTACCCAGTGTGGAAATCACGGTGATTCAGAATGTTACCATTATCATGTGCACGCCTCTTCGCTAGAAGTCCCACATCATAGATATGTCACCCAACATTCATAGATAGGTGACCCAACATAACGAACTGAATTTGGCACGAATTTCTGCATATGGTATGTAGTGTCCTGAGCACTGCAACAGAAAAAGTCAGCATAGTCACACCCAAAGCAAGAGTGTGTTGTGACTGCCGTTTTGGGCTATGCTTGAACATTGTCGCGGTGTTTAACGTGTCATTCCGTGCCCCATGACGAGCAAAATGCCTGATGGCGCATGAAATTTGTGAGGAAATGATATGCGGACCAACTTATACACAAGGCTTGCTCCATATAAAGCTGAAGGCAATGAAGCCGTGCTTCGAAGAGCCCTTGTACAGCCAAGTAATCCCGATCAAGGACAAATCATGATTACTATGGATCTTCCAGAATCCTTTGTATTTCAAGATTGATGGCCAAATATGGGATTGCAACCAACAAACGGATTTTATAGAATCAAAAAAACTTTCGCATCCTCAGACCGCAATTCCCGCACTGCACTTCACCAGCGCCGCGTTGCCAAACATAATGGCCGAACTCAGCTTCTCTCAGGAAACTCAAGCTGTAAGGGGTAAAGTTGTTGAGCTGAGCAAATTTCGCGCTGACCACTGCAAATCTCCCATCCATGAAGGATTCTCTGGGAACGGAGTAGCCCTAGAGCCAAAAAAAGCCTTATACTTGGAGTGAAACCTAATCAGAATGTTTCTCCTCCAATTCTCAAGAAACGTTCGGTGCTGCAGCGCTGCATGCTGAAATATGGGTCAAGAAAAACCTTGCCACCAATCTCACATATTAAATGCGTTGATGTGGAGGTTCTGGTGGTATCCTGAACACCTGCCACGTTTGAGGACCTGTGGAATCAGCCGATCCGCAAACCTTGAGAGTATGCCACATGCGAGAAATCCTCCAGACCAAGTGTAAGGTGCAGGCAGCAAAAGCCTGTGGAGAATGCAATGGCAGCTTGCACCCACACAGCCGAGGCAAACAACTCAGAGTTGTTTTGTCAGAGAACGGGACTTGACGCTTCAAAGCATCGTTCTTTGTGACTTCGATCTTTTCGCCAAAATGCAAGGCGCGTGGTTCTCAAAAAGATGCGCCTCGACGATGATCGTTGGCTGCGGTTCTGGCCTGGCGATCCAAAGATCCCTGCCTCGCTGAAAGAAAACACATGGCCTGAGCTGCACCCAAAGCGGCCACTGGCACAGTCTTTCTGCACCTGAAGGCTGAAGCACTGCTGAAGCTTGCAATTCTGCTGTCGACAGAGCCTTGTGAATATCCAGCTTCAGTGACTCCGCAGTGCGATGCCTTTCAGTTGCCAAATGAGAACGTGTGAGAACATTCTGAGAACATTCGTGAAAACACGAGCAGCTCTGCGGCTCTCAGCCACTCGCGAATCACGATTTGCAGATGGAGGAGCCTGAAGTTCTCCAATTCTCCAAGGCATTTGGATTTGAGCCTTCGCACATAGGCATGTTAGGCCCCAGCGCTGGCACCACTTCTGTGCGCTCGCTGTTGCACTGGCTGAGGTGCTGGAGCGTGCCGCGAAGACTGGCCTTGAGGTGGGAATCAGCCTTAATTACCAGAAAGTAGCATTGTCAAACTGAGAATCAAAAAGCATTCCCTTTACCCAGCCCAGCAGCTGGAAAGCAACCACATACTCTAACATTCGTCACCCAAGACCCCAAACAATGCCAGTCAGTCTTAATGGTCTCATCGAGCTAGATGCACTCCAACTGCTTGATTCTGAGTCCACCCCTACCCAAAACTTGAGCAAAGAAATCCTAAACTTGATTTTTTCGGGCAAGCCTTACAGCCTTAAAGGACTTTGTCACTGCATCAGCCAGAGAGACCTCGCGACCATAGCCACTCCATGGCCATGCTCACCTTAGTAGTGATGCTGCAGACACTGCGTTTTCTGCATGTGCCGGCATTCTCAGGCAGTGAGCCACGCTTGGCTGCGCAGCTTCTGCTGCTCTTCTTTCCTGCAAGATTCTAAGATACCGAAGCTGAACCCAGAGCGCAAAATCGTATGACCCTGCGTACCAGAAGAGCATCTCCCAGACCGTGCCGTGAGAGTGAGAAGTCTTGTCCTTGGCAAAAGACTCCAATTCCACATCTGCCAGTTCTCACTTTGTAGTAAACGGCATAGTCCCAACCGACTGTTTTTTTCTTCATGTTGCAACTTCCCTGAGCTGCGAACCTGCCCTGGCGTAGCTCACCTAGCAAGGATGCGACTCCAGGCAGGCACGCACAGCAGCACAGTGAGCACGGTCGAGGCGTCTTGCAGCCTCAGCGCGCCTTCGGTGTCGCGTGTGGTGGCGCAGTTGGGCTCGTGAACTGCATAGCTTGCGCCATGGACTTTCTCAGGGATAGATACCTTGTTCCAAGCTGCTATATGAATCCATAGTCTCAACATAGCTTGATGCCATCCAGAAACTCATCGCGCAAGCTTGGCACCAGCTCCTCCACTCCCGGCTCCGTCGCATTCGAGACCTCACAATGGTTGCTTCTAGACAAGCATCTACAACCATGGATCCACCTGTGCTGTTCCCCAGAAACTCGTCACCCCAGAAATGCGCACTGGCCTCCGGCACGTTGACACTCAGGACGACAGCCTCCAGCCAAAGCTTACCAGCCTGCCTTACATTGGTAAGTCTCTAGGTCGTCACAATCTTAGAGATGTGCAGAACGAAACTCTTGAGCCACAAAGGTGATTAGAGGCTCCGTGGAGAGGTCATAACCTTAGCTTGACCCAATGGGGCCCATTAACAGGAGAGCATGAGGCAAGACACTTCTTCCAACTAGAGCACCCGGTCGTGCATAGTCCTCCAGGTGATGCATCTGGCTTTTGGATGCTTTTGATATGACGTACATCCTGCAAAGGGTTACATTTGCCTGCCGGAACACTGCGACAGCCCGGGAAAAGTGCGGCAGGCTCACCTGTGGCACTCATTCTGCTTGAGGCGCAGCAGAGAAGGAGCATGCGCCAGAAGCACAGAGCGCACCGTCGCAACCGCGCAAGCAGTGCCCATCATTAAATTGACCTGATCATATGCTCGACATGGACAATATACAAGCAGGCATGAAACAAAAGCAGTCAAAGCGACCTCTTTCACCAAGTCCTCAAATGTCTTGAGGACATGCGGCTCGAGCTGCAGAGCCAAGCTTTTCTTTCCCTTAGCAGGGCGAAACCTGCATGACCCTCACACATGTTTTGCAGATGTCCGGTGCCCGGCATCCCGAGTGCGAAAGCGCAACTCCTTGACGTTGTTCATGCAAGACACCTGCATCAGAGCTTCCTGGCGTCAAAACATCAATGGAAGATGCTGGGGCCCTGTCAACTGCGCAGGGATCCAAATCCTCGGAGCCTCCTAGTTGCGCGCGGCAAAGGCTGTCAACCTGGCAGCTCAGCAACGATTACATCACGCCTTCTGCTGCACGAAGCGCCTTCCGTGTGAAGTCATCGAGTTCAATTGCCAGACCGTACCTCCACCAACCAACAAGTAGCCAAGCTCGACACACTTGGTTTGCAGTTTGTAGACCATCAAAGACGTAACCTAGCCATCACAGTTCAAACATCACCAGGCACTAATCTAATCAACTGGCTTGCACCTCTGCAAAAAAAAAACAAGATTGGCCAGTTGGAGGCCGGGGTACTTCATCTGGAGCTGCTCTTGCACAACATTGCCCAATGCTCCCACCACGCTTTTCGCTTTGGAGTCCACCTACAACTCAGGGTGGACACTCCCGCTTCTGTGCGGAGTAGCGAGATCCCTGCATGTGTGCGCCCAACGTCAGGCTGCCTCGCAATGCAATTGAACCTGAAGCTTGCCAGCAAAAAGGCTTCTGAGAGCTAAGGCAAGCACGGCACTCTGAAATGGCCGTCGCTCACCTGCCGCCCATCACGGCTACAGCAGAGTCTGAAAATGATTGGCGGGCCCTGAGCATGCGTCCTGCTTGCTTGAGCTGCTCGTACCTGCAGGCCACTTCCCGCCTTTGCCGCATGGTATTGGCAACCCAAGGTCATGGCACATTACCGTCCACTTATATCTCGGTCTAAGTTCTTGAAGCTTGGGCTTAGGCGCAGGTTGATGGACCCATGCTCCTCTAACCAGGGCGTGCATGCACGCAAAAGGTGTGCTCAACAGGCCTCCGCAACGTCAACACGTGTTCGTCCCAATTGCTTGTGCTCCTTGAATGCCATGCGAAGCCAGCAAGGGCAGCTTTGGAAGTTGACGAAAGCATGGCCTCAGGCGACCAACCAAGAAGGGCTGGACGCGGAGGCCGGACAGGCCGACGACGCTTCGATTCCTCCGGCTTCAAAATTGAAGTTGTCAGCACTGATTTAAGTTCATCAGGCATGCCGCCTGATCCAAATAATTTGAATCGGATGACCTGCTGAGAAAGCAGCTCGACACTCTGGTGACAAAAATCGCACAGCTGTGCCTGGAAGAGCAAGGTGATGACAAGGCCTCCACAGAGGCTGTTCTTGAGCATTTTGCAAAATTGACATGCAAGTGCCTCAGCACGATCTGACCTCATACAGGCTTCCCCCACCAGTGTCCAGCTTGGCACTCCAATTGGCAGAAGGATGGACTGCTTCCATGTTAGAGCTGCTGAGATCGCGGCCATTCTATGTGGTCGCCACGCAAGTCTACGTTGCACGAGTTCATCGTGCATTATCATGTTGTGCTGGCTGACTAGGAAAATGAGCTCTGCTGGCTGCCAGCAAACCTCAAGTTTCAAAAAGTGCCTCTGCAATGGGTCACGAAGCATGAGATGTCTTTTTGGCAAACAACAATGTTAAAGGACCGGAAAACCCCACATGTGTGGTTTAACCTGAATCTATGTGCAATGATATTAGGACACTGTCGCCGGCCGAAGTAAGAAGACATGTTCGAAGAGAAGATTGGAACAGAACAAAAAATAACCGATCATCCCGATACTACGAGAATGTGATGCGAATGCGAAGCAAACATATGTTTTTCATCTTGCTTCAGCCACTTCTGAGTTACTTCCTCAGGCGTTTCACTTGCGACTCTGGCTTCAAACTTTTCTGTTTTCACTTTAGTAATTTAAGGCAACAACGTTTCCTTTGCTTGCGCCATCTTTTCTTTAAGCAACTTTTGAGGCAGCCTTCGCAGTTGTAGCAGTAAAACTTTTAGGGTAACTAGGCCCTTTTTTGCAAAGGGACTCTCCAATTAGTGCTGAAGTGCACTTAGTTTGCAACTTTGCCTGCACCTCGTGTCTTTGGGCGTTTCTCCACTTGCATCGACTTCCCATGAGGATGCAAAAGTGACAACTTCAGTGTGATCACGTCAGTCTGTGTGGACTTGTTTGGAAACTTTGGGTTCGTTTTCCTGGGTCTTTGTTCTTTGGTTGGGGTTAGGACTTTCCAAACTTGCGTCCA